GCCGCAACTTGAAGTTCCACCAGATGATGCACCTCGGCATCTTCTTTGGGTTGTGCCGTGCTTGGGGGACGTGAGCGCTTACGATGCGCGAAGACGAAGTGACCGAAGGGGTGACCCCCGGGCGGGTGCTTTTGCTGTAGGGATCAGATCCAGCCATTCAGAATTCAACCATTCTCAAGAAACTCAAGGCAGTTGATGAACCGCGGGAGATACCAGTTTACTGTAGGTGGTGGCCATGTGAACTTTGCATTGGGTACTCTTTGGTCCTCAATCAACCTTCTATGGCCTTTGGACCTTTGAGTGTTGAGAGAGAGGATGCTGCAGGGCGGACCGTCTAAAAAACAGAGGAGTCCAATTTCTGGCCCAGAGGAGGCTGACATGGCGCTCCCCTGATCAGCTCGGGGTGGACTCTAAACGTTCCAGTGGATGTCGGCCCTCACCGCGGGAAAGAAGAGTGGTCGCAACTTTGGAGGAAAGGCCTGATAAGGAATTGACCTCTGGGCCCAGTCGTCTTTGGAAATACCAGCTGATGAGGCTTTCTCCGAGCACGCAGGAGTGCAGGCGCAGGTTCTTCTGGTCGCCGTTCATCAGCTCCAGCACCAGAATCGACCACACTGACACGGCCACCAACAAGATGGAGAAGGAGTTTGCTAAGAAGAGTTAATAAGAATCCATTGGGTTTGTCCTATTACCTGTAACAGTCAGTAAACAAGCAAATCACTAGTTTTGAACAAGGCCTGCAACCAGGCCCCATCATCATCCACTGAAACCTGGATGACATGGATAGACCCCAAGAATCCATCATTCGCTAAAGTTACCCCGCTGAAAACTAACACAAACCCGGAACACCACTGGTTTGTATAGAGGAAAACAGTCTTTGAGGGTGCCATTCTCAGGCTGCATGTGAGTTTTCGGGAGTGTCTCATTTCTCCGGGTGAGATGTCCGGTTTGGACACTCGGTGAGCTACGAGGAGGCTGTACTGAAGAGTTGGACCAGCCCGCTTACAAGGTCGTCCGGCTTACCGAGTGTCCTGTTGATGGTCTATGACCGTTTTTGGGGAACGCCGTCCTGGCACACACTGTGTGGCAGTGGCGAGATGCGGACGCTGACTCCTTCCTCGAAGGACTGCACCCAAATGCTGGCCATCAGAGAAAGCTCAGTTTTTCAGATCGTGGATGGCTCTTCGGCCAGGCTGGGGCCAGGCCCCGAACGGAGCCACATACCGGACCTGAGGTATACGGTGAGCAGGGAGACTATTTATATCCCAGACACTCCATGGGACTGCCATAGGACTGCCGATCAGTTGGGGTTGTTTCAGGGGTCAATTGATCGGCATATATTCCAGTCCCATGGAGTGTTTGAGTATGTAGGCGCCTGGGTCTCTGGCCCAGTCGTACCAATCCTGAGGTACGGTGGTTGCTTCTCATGTTGTCGTCACCCTGGGACAAGCCAGCGGTGCAGTGGTTGCCCCATCAACGGCTGGCGGTGTCTATGCATGGAATTCTGATGCACGGTAGGAGAATCACCACATTTTGCCCGTGAACTTTGTTTGATATGGGTATGGATTGGGCTAGTTTGGGAGCGCAGCTACGACGCAAGCGTCCAAGGACACACCAAAGGAAGAGAGGAGAAGGGTTCCCAGATATGACAAAAGCCTCCAGGGACACCCAAGGAGGAAGGAAGGTGAAGAGAGGAAAGAAAGAAAGAAAGAAAGAGAGAGGGAGAGAAAGGGAGAGGAGAGAAAAGGAAAAGGCAGGTGTTCCCAGCTACGAACAATCGTCCAGGGACACACCAAAGAAAGAGACGGGTGATCCTGAGCATTCCATTCAGGAAAACACCAAAAAGCAAAGAAAGAAAGGGGGAGGGAAGGGGAACGGGGGGGGGACTAAGCTCGCGACAGGTTCCAACGAACCTCAAAAGTACTTCGGTCGCTCTGACCACGTTGAGGCGTTAAGCCAGCTTAGACCGCTGCGGCCACGTAAAGGCATGAGCCAACTTGGAATTCCAAAGATGAGACAAAAATCTGAGTTCTTGTGGCATGAGCCAGCTACTGTCCGCTCCGGACACGTACATCTCCAGGCAGGGGAGATAACGACAGACACCCGTTCGACGGGTCCACGGGAGGCACTCTACGGCTCATCCCGGACTGGCACTGGGCCAGACACACTTATGGAATCTTATGGATATGCATACTGACTTGACAGCGGTGCCACATGCCGGCCTAGGTTACCATTTCCTAAGGGTACAGGTACTGCAGGAAACAACGAAGTAGACAGCTTGTGCTCTACGTAGGTTTTTTCTGCCAAGCAGGTACGTCAATCCGGCGTCCCGGATTGATTTCACAGATGCAACACTGGCGTCTTCGTTGGTGCCAGTCCAGTGTGCATCCCTGGCACCCCCTGCTGAAAAAGAGAAGAAACAATTCACCGGAATCCCTGTGATTATAAGGGGCACACACACACACACTTGCGAAATGCGTACTGAATGGAAAGCTACTGGCCACACACCCACCTAGGTATGAATGCCTAAGAAAACCAGGTGTCAGGTGTGTAAAGCGGTCTGAACATGAGCACGTCCAAGATCTTAAAAAGATAATCTTGAAGCAAGAAGTCTCCAGTGTGAAGAATGCAGTTGACAGCTCCACGATCGGAATCCCGTCGAAACGTGCAGAGTCTGCAGACCTCAAAGTCACCTGAAACAGCCTGGTCAGCTACAAGTAGAGGAGAAGGTGGTTACTCAAAATCACATCCAGGTCAAAGTGCAGATACACAAGTTGGCATCGTCCCAACTCTCTTCCAACTGATTTCCGTAGCTTCGTTGGCACGGATAGGAAATCAGTCTCCTTGCCCCCTGGTCTTAAAACCAAAAGGTTCCCTGTGATTCCAAGGGTTTCACATACACATCACACACTCCTACCGTGCTTCTCGCTTCAGATGCTCAGGACCCAAAGCCATCACCTATGGCGAAGGAGGAGCTTCTTTCTTGCCCGCGTGGGAAGTGGATTCAACATGATGTTAACGTATGTTATAATACTGCTTTTGTTCCTGCTTAGTTTGGGTTGAACGACGCGTGTTGGAAGATGCTGGAAAGGAACTTGCAGCAGTTAGTTCGATAGACCAATGCACTAAGCTGGGCTATTCTATTTTCATATGATGGTGTCCTTTTCGGCCTCATCTCCCCCATCAAGCCCGTTGACCACGAAATGCGCGCGGAAAAGAAAATAAGACGTGGTCGTGATACCAACATATAGCATCCATTCCCCAATTCTTTGCATGTTGCCCGGAAGCTGGGCGCCTTAAACCATGATTTTTGTTTTCTGAGATTTCTTGGGCCGACAGGTGATATCAGGTTTTTGTTGACAATGGAAAATATCCGTGTTCAAGTCCACCCCTGCAGCACTTCCGGTCAGCATCCTAGGAGAAGGACGCTAAACCAGGTGGGACAGAAGCGGCGGTGATGGATGCGCATTTGGTTGTAACGACTGAATGGATTGCTTTAGGACCTGCACCACCCTCCAACACCTAGTTTGTTCCTTCTTGTGTTGACCAATCTGAAATCCACTCAATCCAAGCAGGATTTTAGTTCCAGTGCCTGATTCAGAAAATGGGTATGTTTGTCCATGTGCGTCGCATTTCTACAAAACAGTAGGGAACCGATGCGACATTGCGACATTGCATTGGTGCCATCATCCGTCCTAGAGGAACACCAAGAAATCGTTTCATGTGCGGCTGGACGAGCAGCGGTGCATGTTGCGCGTCGTTGCGATTGGGGGGATACAAGTCGGAGGATTGATCCACTGGCGCTGGGGTCTGACTCATGTTCAATGCCTCCTAGCAGGGTCTCCAACAAAACAAAAATGCGGGCAGCCCAGTCACAGGCTAAACCCAGGTGCTCATCCACCGGTTTGTGTTCCCTGCGCCGGCCTGCGCCCTGCGCCAGGTCCAGCCAAGGGCGGCAAAGGACACGCCAAGGTGCGATGATGCGCTTCGGCGCGGCGGGCGGGACCTCCATCTTGTCTAAGAGAGCATGGGTGTTTGTTGCAAGTGCGGTTTGTTGTTGTTTTTTGCAGAGAGACTGTCTCAATAAACCTGTGACAGTGGGTCATCAGCCTGGCCAATAAGATATTACATACCCAACGAAATGTCCTTTATATTCATGAAGGGCTGGGAGCCCGGAAAGCCTCTGACCCACAACCGGGCCTTTGGGAGTGTTTCCCGGATCTTGGCGAAACAAGCCCTGCTGATATCACAAGTCCACTAGTGAATCCGCTCCGGAAGAGACAACTTGTGGAAGCTGGGGGAAACAACAAACCCTTCATTGCATCAAAGAGCCTTTTGGCAGGGGCATTTGGCTACCAGGAGCGGGTGAAGCTTTGTGCTTGGGAACCAAAATGTCTCGAGCACCTTTGTTTGCCTGGAGTGGCTCGCTGGAAGATGCGCTTCTTCCAGCATCACCTCGTGCAGGGGCCTCCAAAAGCGCCACCCCAAGCGCCGCGGAAGGGCCAAGGCGGGGATGCCACGTTTGGGGCACAGATGAACACGTTCTTCCTCAGATCTGATCAGCTCTGAAAAAGATGCCCAGCCGCGGGTGTCGGCTTGGAGGTTCACCCTTGATCAGCGGCTCCTCATTTGCCATGTTTAGGCTCGTATATATGCTGGTATTATATGCGAACAGATTGAACATAATTGAACGGTACTGAGAGGCTAAGCAGAAGCACTTGAGGACTTTCGAAAGAACTTGAAGGAGACATCCGCCCTGTTGAGGTCCAACGTGAAGATGACGCATCCCCGTGCACGAGGGTCAGTGCTAAATTGCACAAACACCGTGCGAAGGCGTTTCTAGATGCTCAGGGCGGACCCAAGCTACTCAGAGTGAATATAGCTACCTATGAGGTTAGCCTCGCCAGCCTCGCTCCCCAAGGGTCTCCTGAACTTTCATTCTTGGGTTATTAGGCGTGAGAATCGAGACCGTTGTTCTCGTTGTTCCGTGACACGGCCCGCAAGGCAAAGGTGCCCCTGGAAAGAGCAAAGGCAAAGGAAAAGAGGTGCACCGTTGTCCCATCCCCTTCTCAAGTCGCAATGCTTTCATGGATGGGGCCGGGCCCCGATGCAGAGATGTGGGCCGGGCTCTTGGGAAAAGACGGGGTGCAACCCTGCCACATCAAAACCACTGCCCCGGCCGCAAGGTCGTTGCAAAACTCTTGCTCCAGTCAATGTTTGAGCTTTTGATAGCCTTTGCATTGGTTTGCTGAACATGTGTTTGTTTTTTCCAGAAATACTCGTTGCATCCGTGCATACGTCCTGTCAGTGTTCGGGGTCCGTGCCCCACCCAACGGCGGACCGAAGCGCTCTTCTTCCGCGCTCCCTCTCGCGGGTCGATCGGCGTTGCCCCGGTGGTTAGGCGAAGGGAAAAAGCGAAGACCTGAGAGTCTCGACTGAAATGGCTGAAGACTTGTCTTTTTGGGGACTTGGTTCTGATCTTCCCGAGTTCGGGGTCAATCCCCTAACCTGGTGAAGAGCTTTGCTGTCGGTTCCTGGGCAGCAAATCCAAGAGGCTTTGGAGTCACAGGAGCGAGAGTGAGACGAGGGTGAAGTTTTCGTCGCTGCTTCGGAAGAGGTGAAGATGCTCGGCAAGAGGTATGCAGAGCCTCCCATGTAGCAGTGAAAGTCTTTTTCATTCAGCAAGGAGGCATCAACGCCGCTCTCAGCAGCATCGTTAGAGAGAACAGGGCATAGACCGCTCAAGAAAGAGGGCCCTCACCAAAACGATTATTCTCCTTCAGCTAAAGGCGATTCATCCTCACACTTCCTCGAACGAACGCACGCACGAACGCACGAGGACTAGCAGCTAGTGCGACCAACAGTTGTCCTCTTGCAGGGCCACCTTGCGCCCTATTTGTTGGAGGGTTGTGCAACAAGCTGTTGATGTAGAAGTATTTGCTTGTGAGCTTGGGTGGGCTCAACTCCGAAGACTAATTGTGCCTTAGCAGGAGTCCATTTCTGTGCGACATTGAAGATCTGGACAATTTCTTGCCCGGCATATGCTGGATGTGAATGTTCTAGCCACTGTGACAAACTCGGCATTGTGAGTGCATATCCAACTGCCTGGTTGGCCCAAAAGATCATCATCCACAGGCCACCCGCAGGTGCCGCTACATGCTGTTCAGCCGTTTTTTTCAGGTGCTTTGTGCATGTCGGTGCACTGCCACACGGCCGGCAACAATCCCCAAAAGGTATGGACCTGGATGTCCATCAAGAAAATGCGGGTCACGTACTGTTGCACAATCGAATCTCTCAAGGCTTCTATGGAATTGCGGTTTGGAATTGGACTGTTCCAGAAGTTTCCACGCGATTGGGTGACAACGCTCTTACTGGCACTAAGTCACTAAGTGGTTGGCCGACTGGATGGGCCCGTCCAAGAATTGACGATCTCCACAAGAATTTGTGGGAAAGGAGTTCCACTGAACCGAACAAGCATTATTACTACCAATTTCGATTATTTGGATTACCCAAAATGCTAGCCGACCTGTTCTGTGTTTGTGTGTCTTTTTGTTCTACTTTCGAGGACTGCATTCTCATGGCGCAGGAGATGGTATTTTGGGGGGGAGATCTACTCGAAGTCCCCCGGACCTCCGCTGCCCACCTCCCAACCCGCACCTCGTAACCCACCCAGGGAAGGAAGCCGCTCCGGCGCCCTTTGGCCGGCGCATGCATTGGGTACCTCGGTGAGCGCGTCGACCCGTCCGGATGCAGGACGCCCCAGGACTTCACCCAGCTGTTCGGTGAGCGCGTCGCCACGTGTTTTTTGGTACATGGAAACCAACGTGTTTGGCGCTTAAGGACCGGTCAAGAGGACCCATTGGCGCTCAAGGACCGGTCAAGAGGACCCATTTTTAGGACCCACCGTTTCGGGTGAGCCCATTCGAGTTGTTCAGCGGTCCAGATGCGGTCAGCCATCGAGTTGGACCACCAGTTGTGGGAGATTTTTGTGCCTTCCGACATCGGTGCCGCGAAACGAGCTGGCATCGAAAACAGGCAGAACTGACTGGCAATCCAAAGATGTTCACCTAAACAAAATTTTAAAAACAAACAAACGGTTTTGGGGGAGGTCTAATTAGTTTGTTTAGTAGAGTCTAGCAGTCTAGCCTAGACTTCTATGAATCTTTTTTCGATCATCCTTGCACTCACTAGCCTCAGCAAGGTGCACCCGCGCTACAGCGCCCCGGAACATGCGACGGTCTTTGACGCCGAAAAGGCCCCGGTGGACTTCGACGCACTGCAAAGCCTCCTGAGCTGCTTGCATGGCACATGGCGGGAAGTCGAGCAGATTGACCTGGCATATGATGGCATGCGGACTTCGCAAGTGGGTGAAATGTAAGTTCTTACCATTTAATCAGCAGCTAGTTGGTATGAGGTTGGTGCAGCCAGCACATCAAATCCAAACGTTTGACCCTATGGGGCAGCCCTCAAGTCACAATACTTTTAAAAATAGAAAGCTCAAGGATGTCAACGCTCAAGAATGCCAACCGCCAATTTTTCAGAACGTGTAAAAGTTTTACACACTGTAAAACCGTCTTTTGCTCCTCGGTGCACTTTGGCCACACAGTCAGAGCTATCAAGGCGTGCTGAAATCTGAAAGAAAAAAGATATCATAAGCTAAAAGATGCTAAAAGGTTCTAATTATGACTCCTGACTTGTTCACCCCCAATGAGCTTATTGCCCCAAAATAGAAGTTTGCAAGATATGTCTCCTTCGAGGTGTGGTTCTTTTTTTGTCAGACATTTGTTGGGGTGTGCCTCATGAAGGTGTTCAGCAACTGCCAGTCGTGCTTGCATCTATGTTTGCACCTTGCCTTGTTCATGGTGCTTGACGGAGTTTCCAGCATCGATGTACTTGTGCATATGTTTGCACCTTCACTTATTGGGCAACACCTGAACTGGGAATGTGTTGGATCTGTCACCGCAGACCGCCGGGCGGTCCAGGGTGATGGGGACTTTTTTGGGCGGTGTGGAGTGTCGAATGACTGGCTTAGCGGTTTGGAGTGGTCGACTCCGGATAGCCAAGCCATTCATTAGCACATCACCAAGAAATTCAACAGACAGTTCTTGGCTGCGCACCACTTAAATGCTTCAACTTAAGTGTCTCTTGGCAAAAATAGGTGAGAGCTGAAATTCTGCATCGAAGGATTTGTCGATATTGGTCGGAACATTTTTGGAACGAGCTAGCTGTCCCAGCTGCAGCTAGCTGTTTGCCGTGCACCCAGGCGGTGGCCTGGCCACTTCCGTCCGGAAGCGCGGCCCTGTCCGGAAGACCGAAGGGATCAAGGCCGATTGAGGAGGGCGGGGGGCGATGAGGGTGAACGAAGGTAGGTCGACTGGCTGAGATCAGTGATGTGTCCAACAGTTCGCCGGACTTGCGTTTGTTGCGAGAAGACGTGGAAACGGCCGGGTTCGAAGATAGACGCCGTGATGATTTCCTGTGTGTGTTTTCTTGCTTTAAAATAATATAAGCTGGGAGTGTTCTTCTTGGGGCATTGTTCTCTATGAAAAGGAGTCAGTCTTCCAGGGTCTTCCGTTTTCAGGGGCACAAACTGCTCACCTCTCCCAGTTTCGCTACACCAAGGTGGAAGGATCTCAGACCTCTGGGGTGAAGAAGGATTTCCCCTCACTGAGCCTCTCAGGAAGAAGCTTCGTCATCCCTGAAAAACATCAATTACTGTGCATCAACGACAAGATGCAAATACATCAGACATAGATTAGATAGACATATGATTTGAGACACGAAACCGTTTTCGGGTTATTATAGCTGAACCGTTTTTGTTTTGTATGCGCGTTTGCACGCTCACACGCTTGGTGAGCGGAGCTGAAACCCATTCGCTGCAGCCTCGTTTCGGAGACGCCACGCGGCTCAGCGCAGGTCTTAGACGCTTCGCGAGCACAGAACATGGCCATCGTTTTAAGCCGCTTGACCGTGATAACGGCGGATTCGGACGACCTGAACAGGTGGAAAATGGAGGTGGTTCGGATCCGAGCCCGGATCCGCAAACCGAACCTGAGGTACGTTAAGCAGGGAGAGCCCAGTGGCGCCAGGATGACCGAACCTGAGAAGGGAGTGGAGCTCGAACTCCATTTGGGGCATGCAGTTCAGATCAGTTCAGTAGCTTCTGGCTCGGGGTGCAGGGACAGGCCAGAAATAAGAAAAGACAAACTCCAAAATATGGACAGAGTGACAGGGTGAAAATCATAATAATGTATAATATATTATATATATAATATGTATTATATATATATGTGTGTGTGTGTGCATGTGTATGGTCATCATCAAAATGATAGTTACAGCAACATATGTCAACCTGATCCTCAGCTCACAAAGATCAATGGGATCCAAGTGATCCAAGGTCCGTGTTTCCATTTCCGTGACTTGAAGAGCTGTGCCCGATGTGCCCATCATGTGCACAGAGCGCTGAAACCAAGTAGATGTGCCCGCTCCAAGGCAAGCTGCCCGTGAGTTCCTACGAGCTTTGTGATGCCTTGATCCACTTGGACTTCTCTTTGGCCATCTCCGAGGCTGGTGATGGGGAACACCGGCCACCTCAGAAGCTGGTGCCGTCCATGCGACTTCGATGTGCTTGGGGGGAACTGTACTCCACTTGCTCATAGCAAGAGAGAGATTGGAGGCCCTCAAAACTTGCAATGACGCTAAAGCATGTGCAATGTTCGCTTACTGTTCCTTTTAAGCTTGCTTTGCGTATATGATTCTATGCTTTGCGATGTTTTGAACATGTTGCAGTGTGCATGTTCAAAATGTTATTACACTTAAATTGAAGAATGAAGTCATAATACGGATTAATACGGTATATGCAGGATTTCTTTCAAGAGCAGACCACTGGTCGTTTCGCACTAAACAGGACCTCGTGGAGCTGCTCTTTGGTGTGCTGCCCACGCCGGAGGTGCCATGTTCGCCGCATGTGGAACGCGTGGGGCGTGTGCGGGATGGGCGCGTCAGACCGGGATTTAGACGTTCGAAGGTGCGAGACTTTGGGATCTTGTCTCGATCCTTTGTATCATAAGCATGTCATAAGCGTTGAAACATCCATCCCCGGCCGCAGACCCGGGTACATGCGGATCTTGTATCGTATCGTCTTTCCCGGGAGTTCACTTTTCTCTGAATGGCGTGAGGGCCGTCCGGAGTCCTCAGTGCTTGGCGTTCTGGACGGGTGCTAGGGTTGTACAGCTGGACATCGGAATGAGAACAGGATGATTCAGCCTTTTTGGACCCCAAGCTTACAGCTTGGGTCTGGTAAATGCATTTCCCACTGCTAGGAGTCATCATTTTGGGGGGTAAGTTGATCCATCCACTGTCGTTCCTTCGTATTCATGGACGGGTGGATCTGGACCTGCTTCGGTTTGGACCGCGCGCTCCGTCCTCGCGGTCCTCGTTCGTTGGAGGAGTGCGAGAAGCTGCGACCGCACGCCTCCTCACCCGATGCCCTGCGCGACATCGACCCTCGGCCACGACGCGAAGGAAGAGGAACGTGGTCAGCCGAGCCGAAGAGACGACGCGAAGGTGGTGGGTTTAGGTGGGTTTTGCCGCGCAGGTGGAACGCTGGGTTGACACTGGGAATCGAACCAGGTGATCCTGTCAAGATGTCTATGTCATGTGATAAGTTTTAACATGTGATCGCGTTTCATGGCCTTTGTCCTCAGTCATTTGTTCCATGATTGGGTTGCTCGAACGCTGAGTGGGACTCGAACGACATCAACAGTTGGCAATCGATCCGAAAGGAGGTGGCTACGACGTCAGTGTGGCACGGCGATGTCGAGGGTTTGGGTGGTCCCGAGCTATGTTAAGAACCTGATGGCTTGCATATCACGAAAGGTAGCGGTTACGCTACCTGAGTTTTCCTTTTGCTTTAGCAAAAATGTATTAACCCAGAGCTGCAGCCTATCTCTCGGAGAAATGGTCCCCGACATCTTC